GGCATCATTCAGTGGATGTCTCAGACTGCATTCATACCCGCAGAGGGCCTGGCGCTAGCCCATCAAATCGTTGACCGCGTGCTCGAGCAGCAAAAGCGGTCCCAGAATGACAACACGGAGTTTGCAACGCCCATTTGCACCAAGGAGCTGCAGCCGGCACACATACGCAACTATCATCCAGACATAGCCATTGCCTTTGATCTGGCCAACCTGGTGGAGTCCTTTGACGTTTCTGAAAACAAGGACGTGTTTGCCTTTGTCGATGCCCTGAATGTGAAGGCCAACTCGGCCTTTTGCCAGCGCCTGCATTTGTTTCTGCGCGCGCTCTTTCTCTCAAGAGAGCCGCCCGTTGACTGCTGGTTTAAGATCTACGAGGTCATTCTGCAGATCATCAAGGTGAACGAGAGCATTGCCTACGACTTTCTCATGACCTACATCTTCAAGCTCGCCCACGAGCACAATCCGGAGCTGCAGCTGGAGCTGCTGCGTGGCCTGGCCAACTTTGCAGTTTCTAAGGTGCGTAGCATTGGCATATTGTATCGATTACCGAATTTAATTCCCTGTTCTTTGTCAGGATAACGTGCCCATGATACTCAACACCATTCGCAATTTGTCGACGGAGAATGCCACCTTCTGTGTGGATTTGTATTTGCGCCTCTGGCGCGTAGAGACGCGCACATATCCCTTCCTGCTGAAGCAAATTGCACAGCCGCTGCCAGACAACGACAAACGCTGGGAGCTGGAAATAGCTCGCACGCATGCCATGCGCGAAATCTGCCAGGAAAAGTAAACGCAGTTTTAGGAAAACATGTTATCTTTATATATGTATATTTAATATTATTCTCCTTTTTTTAGACCCACGCTGCATGGCTCTGAGCTGCTGCCACATTTGAGCAACACGCTAAATAGCTGCATCGATGAGTCGGGCGATCTTGCCACCTCGCTGGCGCTCGACGCCATCTATGCGCTGTGCGACAGCCACACCGTGAACATTGCCTCCACGTGGCAGGCGCTGGGCAGCAAGTTTCGCAACGAACAGCGTCCACAGACGCTGAAGTCCCTTTATCACCTTTTTGGACTAGTGCCGCTGCTGCAAACTCCGACGCTGGAGTACGAGAAGCTGGCTGATGATGCACTGGAGCAGCTGTGGCAGGCCATTAGCCGTCCCAATACGGATGCCACCCAAGTGCGGCAGGCACTTGCTGCGCTCAAGAACTATGAGCCGGGCAACACGCTGTGCCTGCGCCACATACCGCCGCAGTTTTGCTTTGAGCTTCCGCCGAGTGCAGTTGCAGGTGGTCGTGATGTGATCAATTTCCAGCAGCATCAGCAGACGCAGCAGCAGGACTCCATTCCCGGTGAGGTGTGGGTGCAGCTACTGCAAAAGATACGACCCGAGTGCGGTGATGCAGCTGCTGATCTGATTGCCCACTACATTGGCAACGAGATCAGCAGCTTTCGCAGCGGCGTCTATCGTCTGCCCGAGGGCAAGCCGGAGCCACGCAAGCTGGGCGGACTCTTTCCCTCCAGTGCATTGCGTGCGGTCAGCAATTATCTGGTGAGTCAGGCTCGATTTGGCGACTACGTGCCAGAGCCCTATGCCGTGACCTATGCCTTGCGCGCACTGTCCAAACGGTTCACCAAGCCAATACCACCGATGGACTGGAGCTGCCTGACCAGCTTCTTCCACTTGTCATTTGATGCCCGAAAATATTGCATCATGATAGCGAAAAACCAAGCGATGCACAGCGGCACTGCTCGACGGCTGCTGGAGAATTTCCTCGCTGACTTTGAGCCCAACTGCTTTGAGGAGGATCTGCTGCTCCTGTTCTCCCTGCTGCCCGAAATAGGAAACTGCGTGAGCCTTCAAATACTGAAAAACTTTGCCGAGAAAGTTGCCGTTTACTGTTTCAAGGAATCACAGCTGAATAACTTTGCCGAGGGTAACGAAATGTCTTAAAATGTATATTCCGGTAATGAGACTAAAGTGTATTTTACAGGTTGCCTCTTTGAAAAGTTCTTGGATAGCGTGAGATATATATACACGGACAAGTGTGAGATTCCAGAAGTTCTCGATGTATTCACGCTTATTGTTGAGCGCTATATGGACTCTATGGATCTGGACTCCAGGCTATTTGAGCGATACACCGAAGTAGTGTCTGTGCTGCATCCTAATGCAATCGATGGGCTAACCACGCCTGCCAATTGGTGGGAAACACCCATGGGAAAACTAAAGAAGGCAACGATAATACGCTGCTATCTGGTTTTATATAACGACAAACTGCCGAATCCCCTGAAATGGCTGACGCCCATAATCGATGCCTACGAACGTCGAGCGGAGGAACGTCCATTTTTCTATCGTCACCTGGCCACCACACTATACGCCTTTGCGAGCGATGAGCATGCATGCAACTGGATTACTGAAATGTTTCTGGAAATCCAAATGATGCTCGCTGAGTCGTCGAACAAAGAGAAACTCAATAGGGCGCTGTATTTACTGGATATATTTATATTAGCAGTGGATGTCTTGTCTGGTTGTGCTGTGCTGCTAGGCACTGTGGATGTGGTGGCCACAGATGATAAGGAACGATTTGCACTGTTTCCGGAAAGCCTACAATATCTCTCTGATCACATATTTTGGAAGGATCAGGAGGCAAAGGTAGCATATATCTTACGCATAAAATTATAACAATTTCATAAACTTATATTAATTTCAGATTTACGAATTCCTGTATAATCTCTATAAGCATGCATCTATACCGCCAGCATATGCTGCCCTTTTTAAAGAAGCAATTATTTGTTCGCGAAACAAACCCTACTTTGATAACAAAGGTGTTTGGACCAAATACGTGGGTTTGCGTAAATGAGAGAAATTCACACACTACACCGACAATTACAGATGTGGCCCACAGTAAAAAGTGCACTTATTGTTACAGTTGTAATAACTTAAATCCATTTTTATAGCTTCTTGTGCGATATTTGTTGATTTTATTAAAAGAGAATTTTTAGCACTATTAAAATTCAAATTAACGGAATAGAGCGCTACCACACAGCTGCATATTCAAAATAACTACCCTGCCATCGAGGTGGCAGCACCAGAGTGAAAACCTATCGCTGAGCTTCTGCACGTAGGGTGCAGCATTAGCGATAGTATTGTATCGGAAATTAAAGTATCGATATCATATCAACAATCCCAATTTATAACTATTATAAACTGCAATATGTTTCAGTAAAAAATGTTCAATAAAAATTAAATACGACGTGAGTAATTGATTAAATTCGCCGTGCAAGCAGAAACACGGGCCGTGGAGAATCCGTGCAGTGCTCAAAGCAGCCAGTTCATAGTGAAACGAACAAGAGAAAAAACGTAAACAATGGACGATATCAAGCTGGCAAAGGTATGTAAATATATATTTTAGTTTAATCAGTGCGGATAAGTGTTAAGCATACTGATATGTGTGAAGTAAGCCATTTATCAGTCGCACCTGTCCTGGCGCCAGCTGTGAGCTGAGTCATGCAATTGGAAACTTTTATGTTTAATTCAAAATCGATGGTCAGGTGGAAACTGTTCCTCCTGTTCTCTCTCTGAAATAGAAACAGCAGTAGCAGCAGCAGCAACAACACACGTCTCTGTGACCCGGCAAGGGCCAAACCCCCAAACGGGTGGGGCCAAGGACGAGACAGCCTTGTTGCCCATGGCATGGGATGCCGCCCCCACCTGTTTACAACATATGCATATAAACATAGCTGTAAATCATGCGCATAAGCGCGAACCCTATAAACGTGAACAAAAATTCAGACTGCATCCAATTTGCTTTTACACTTCTAACTTTGTTCTACGGCATCTGCGCGATCTTTTTCACTAGCGCAAATAATTACCTTCATTAGTAACGCAAATATATTAGTATATATGTATGTGTTTATAAATATACTTATGTACATGTACGGAATATGCATGTGAAAATGCCAACCTTATCGCAGTTTCAAAATTCTTTGCTACTGTTGAACTGCCGGCCTGTACGCCCTCTTTATTAAAAAGCAAATTCTTGATCTATGTTCTAAACTAAAGGTATTAGTTTCAGTTACTCAGTTTACATAAATGTAATTTATGAGCTTAATTTCTTATTTATTTTTTTAACCGCAGCATATTCGCATAGTAAACTATTATTATTTATTGTAGTTTTTGCTGTCAATTTAAAATTTTAATATAAAAGAAAATCAATTAATTAAATAGATTTTGTGCGATAACTCAATGTGTATCATTAAGCTTGATTATCAGATTGTTAGTCAACATAGTTACTGAAGGTAAACTAACAGAAAACTATAAGTATTAATGACCGACTATGGAATACCCTATAGGCAACTTCGGAAACCTATAAGACATATTCACAATAGAACTAAAACTTGTTATATAAAAATTAGTACATTTATGCTAGTTTACTAAAATATATTTGTTATAGAAATATTGTTTCTTATTCATAAACAATACATATTTTATCATATTATCCGTATATAGTGTGCCTCAAATATGCTTACATACTACATACTTTCTCATTATTCACTAACACAGGGTATTTTAAAAGTACCTTTTCATTTGCTAACGTTCGGTGCTATGAGAGAAAATTTCCCATTCGCAAGAATTTCCCCAAAACAGCAGTGTACCAGTGGGCGCTCGTAGCATGCTTTTAAGCGCGCGCCTTTCACAGTCGTCGCAGAGTTAGCATCGGGAGCGGTCGTCCGTCTGTCCGAACGTCGCGCAGTGCTACACTCTCTACAAAGTTGATAACACAAGCATAACACACACGCACACACATAGAGACACATTGATGGGGCAACAGTGGCAGTGGCAGTGGCAGCAATAACAAAGTGGCACATATACAGTATATACATAAATAAATATGTAGGGTTACCCGAATAAGTAGCGTATATACTTCGTCGGTTTGTGTGCTAAGCAAAAAATAAAATAAAATAATAAGAAAAGTGAAAGTAGTCGAAGGGACAATCCGCCTCCCTGGTGATTCACGTGATTTGATTTAAGGGGCAAGCAGAAGCTGCTGGCGTTGCTTTTGAAGTTGATTTAAAATCAATAAACATTTACCCAAAGCAAACACACAGTATCTCTGCCACAGAGTGTATATAATTTGGCACTGTGACAATGGATTTTACGAGATTCATGAATAAGTTTAATGAAATCGAACGACAACTGTCGCCAACGTCGGCGCTGCGCCTCAGCTTCGATAATATATCACCGGAGACCGAGGAGCCGCCCGATGGCAAGCGTCTGTGGGGCGTTCCAGTGCCGCCATTTGTCTCCGATAAGGTCGTCTCCTGGATCGAGGAGGAGTTCAACGAGGCGCCCGTCTACTACAACGGCAACACCGTGCTGAAAAAGGTGACCCGACCCGATTCCCCGTGTTTCATTAGGCAAATATATGCAAGCGAAAGTAATCAAGCGATATTCGGCTAATTTTTCTCAACATTTTCGCATTCGCATTCCCTTTGTTACAATCGCCGCCGGCTGCTCTCGGCCGGAATATGCAAATTACTATGCATAGAGCTGGAGAATTCTCCCTTGTTCGCCAGGCGCTTGCCGACAGGCACGCACATGCATATTTTATGTAGGTCGACTATCCAAACGACCATCCATCGATGCTCTCATTCATTCCCAACATGCCACTGCGCCATTGCGTTCCTTTCATCCTTAGAATGCAGCAAATAGTTGCCTGAGTTGCAGCACCCCGAGACTTTGTTCTCAACTTGGCCAATTAAATAATTGTGGCTTCTTGTGCACTGACATGGCTTTTATCACAACGAAATTACTAGCTGGCATTTTCGTAAGAACTATGCTGGCCAACAGAATTTAATGAGAGATTACGTGTATATAGAGATTATGGAATAGAATAGTACAGAAAATTGCGTATATACAAATTATGGAATGGAATAGCCATATCAGTTGATTCATTGATTACATTTGAGAACTATGCCTTAAAAAAATAACCAACCTTCGAGCTAGTCAGATAGAATTCAAAGATCTTTATTAAATTCCTAATATTATAAATAAATAAAAGTTATATTAAAATGTAAATAGAACTTGATAATACACAATGTGAAATGCAATTAAAAAGCCATCTATAGACAATTAAATGATCTATCTATGAACAAATGTTATTTTCCCAGCTGCACTGTCACCTTGCCCTTGCCCTTGCCCTTGCACTTGTTCTTGTCATTCAATTCAGTCAATAGCTGTTGATTCGTATGCATTACAAATGACGTCATTGGGGTCTACTAGTAAATGGATTAATGTAACTAACGCCCTTGCCATTGCCTTTCGTTTGTACTCTGGTGAAGTCTATTCTCTCAAACGTAATCAATCTACAGAGTGGAGGCAGTTGTTGCGCATATTGCATTCACCCTCTTGCTTTGGCTATCTATCTCTCTGATTCTTTTATGCACTGGGGAAATTCATTTGATGTCACATAAATCTTCGTTATTCTATCTGTTTCATCTTATTTACAATTCGAATTGCGGTTACATTGCATTTGTCACATATTTAAGGAAGTTCAGCTTAGACAAATGGGAATTTCCCTTTGATCCTTAGAGGGTGACCATAGCTTTTTATATTAACTGATTTGCTTTACCTAGAAGATCTGACAACGTTGGCTTGTAAATGTGACCCAATTATAATAGAAATGCGATTTAAACTTGTAGAAAGTACAATATAACTTTTTATGCGCGTGTAAACATCATGTAAGCAGAAATGCAATCGTTTCACAATATGAATAATTAAAACTTATTTTATCACAATATTTAATTTTCTGCTAAACAACTTTTTTTTTTCAAATACATTTTTCAAGGACCAACTTTTGCACTTGACTGTCGGACAGTAAAATAATTTGCAAGCATTTTGATGTTGTTTACACAGTTTTCGGGCTTCCTTTTGCCTGTGTGTGTGTGTGTGAGTGTGTGTGAGTGTATGTGGGTGGGTGAGTGGTGCTTGATGTGGATTTGTGGGTGGTTGGGTAGTTGCAACGCAACTTGTGTGTGGCTGACGTCAGCGAGTGAGGCAAAGAGCATTGCATATAGTATATGGCAAATAATAAATATGAAATGCTCTTTTATAGTGCCTCTTACCTTATTGTGATAGTTGCGAGCTGTATTCAATGTATTTAATGCGTTTCTTTACTTTTATTTTTTACAGGTGGAAAATGTGCGCATGATTGATCGCTACAATACGAAAAATCCCACAGTTGGCACTTTATATCTGACGGCCACCCATTTGATATTCGTGGAGCCTGACAGCAACAAGGAGACATGGGTAAGCCTCCGCAGCCGCCCCTATGACATCATCAATTATTTTATGGGCCAAACGCTTCGAGTGCTCCTTCAACTTCTCGCACTCTCACGCTCTTTCTTTCTCTCTCTCTCTCTCTCTTGGTTAAGTGGGTGCTTGCCAAGTTCAAGCAAAAAAAGTTTGTGCAATTTCTTTTTCCAACATTTTCTGGGTTCATTTGCTTCTTTTTTTTTTTGGGCTACTGTCGGCACAGCACATTGAGTGTGTGTGCGTGCGTGTGTGTGTGTGCGTTGTCCTCCACCAACCGCAAAACTGTGTTACGGAAATATAGTAGACCGCAGAGGCATGCCACGTTTTTTTTTTTACGATGTTTGTAGCCTGCCGCAAACATGTTGCTCTGGCGGTCAAATGCCACATAAATTGTTGCATTATGAATTCATTTCAAATATTCAAAATGACAACAATATTATATTTCATATTCAGTCGGCCCTGAAGCACTTTCAATTATGATTTATTTATGAGCGACGAAAAAACATTGTATTCCACTTGGTCATGTAAATTATTTGCATTTTTCACGAGTGCAATAAGTAATGTTAATATAATTGAAATTATTATACTTTAATGTAAGTTTAGATTAACATAGGAGTCTATATATACATATATATTTTAAATATATGTGCAGTAATTCAAGTTTGATTTACAATTGATAATGAGCGTTTATATCAAATATGTAAATTCATTCTTCATTAGAACACAGAGAAGAAGAGAATCTATTCTTAATAAGTCTGTCTGTCCATCCATCTTGCTATCTCTCTTACACTCTGTATGATTGGCCATCGAACAGCGCCATTAGACGATGCCTGGGCAATAGACTATAATTTCTCACTCCCTGATCAAAGCCTGAGTAAACTCTCACTAAGGCATGGGCTCAAGGTTAGACTCGAATTTCGAGCGGAGCTCGCCCTATATATAGAGCAAGCCTACTGCAGCGCTCCTTCAGTAACATTTCTTATCAGCTGGCGATCAGACGCACAGTGCTCCTCTTCTTCTGTTGTGGGCGTGATATATATTATTATAAATTTTAGTTTACTCTATTATATTAAGTATGTTAAGCTGCATTGTAAACTTTAAGTGCATAGCTTTAGGCAAATGGCGTAAAATTAACGGAAGAGGTACAGAAAAAGAACGCCCTGTCTATGTACAAGAATTACTAAAATTTGTACCCAAGACTTTGTTAACTCTTAGCTATTTATAACTTTATTACAGGGCCTACGAGCACACGCAAATTTGTTAGCCTTTTAACCTTTCATAGGCAGTTTACAAGTGTAAAACTTTTTAAGGAAAACCTCAATACCAACTCAACTCGGCAATTGCTCCTTAGCTATAGCGAAAAGTGTTTAATATTTATATGCTTTAATTTGAAGATAAAAGCAGGCAATGCTAAGCACTGCCAGCGTACCACCCACGCCCACAGCGAACGTGTGTAAATTCTGCACTTGGCGTTTATATTTCTGACCTCGCTCGTTAAACATTTTGTGCAGCAGGTGAAACTCGACAGCTCAAAGCGACTGCGGCGCCAGGCATTCGTCATAGAGTACCTGGAGTGCTTCTACTTGCATGCAGGCACACATGAAGGTATATATATGCCTAGCTGACAACTGGCATGGCCCGCACTTCCGGCCACTTGGCTGGAAAGTTTCTTTTCTTGGCAGGCGCCTCAAGGCTGCTAAGCCACAGAGCGCACACAAAAGTTGTGCATATTAAAGTTTGGTCTGGTCTTTAAGCCTACCGCCTCTTGTCTCTTGTCTTGCCCTCTGTCTTCGATTTAATTAAAACACGCGCTCGCTTTGCGCTGCCCAGCAGAACTAGCCGCAAATGCACAGCGACACAATGGGGCTCGTGCGCGGATTGCGTATACGCCCCATTGCATAAATACAAATTAAAATGCCATGTCGACGTGCTCGCTGGGCCCGCTGAGTCTCATTGTGTATGTGTGTGTGTGTGTGTGGGCGTTACATTATATTATTCAGCAACACAAAACATGCATTCAAAGTCCCTGGCGAAATCCAACAAAAGTGAAACATTCGCTAATGTAAGAGAAACAACATTGGCAAAGCAAACACAAATATGCCAGAAATGCTGCTGGTCCGGAGCGACTGACAGATTGACAGACGGACAGACTGATTGAATGAATGGCAAGCGGCAAACAAATTGCTGCTAAGCGGCTGCAATTCAATTTTCATTCATTCACAATTCTCTGTCCCAGGCACAAAAGGACACAGCAAAAGCATCGGAGCTCGTGATAGCAAAGAAAAACAGCAAAAAACAAGGATTTTTCTTGTATTGGCATACGTAAGCAGCGGCAGATTAAATTAGAAATGCTAATCGTATGGGAGATAACAGATTTGGGTATTTAAGCTAAACTAATGGTTGTGTTGGGGTAGCTTAAGACTATATCTTAATAATGATACAAGTAATCAATTATAACCATAATAAAGAAGAATTTAAATGTATTATAAGTAAACGATTAGTAGAAATGTTTATAATGATTATATAGGGATTGCTAGTAAAGGAGGCATTGGCCCACAATTAACTGTGGCAATACCTTTCTGAAGTATATATATTTGTTTTTATAGCTTTACTGTATTCCAGTCTTTACTGTGACTTAATTTCATTCAATGTTTCTTACTGTTCATTGATTAGAAAAATTATTATAACACTTAACTGGAGCTGATTTTATAAGCTCTATTGCAATTTGTATTATAGCTCTAAAAGTGTAGAATAAATTTGCTGTTGACTCAGAACTCTTTTTATGCATATAAAATTTGAGGACTAAGTTATGTAGAATATTTTTGTAGACATCTCAACTAGTTTTCACTATGTCTATACATATTAGTAATTTGTGTATCAAGTCTTTATATTCAATATAAATCAATCAATATGAATCACAAAGGCAAAACTCGATTTTCCAAGGAGTAAATATCAATCCCACCAACAGATATTTGAGATTCTATCATAATATATATGTATACCTTGCATTTTTAAATAAATATACAAATATATATAACTGTAATATTTATTATACTATGTATTATATTTATTATATAATTAGCCATGCAATTTCAAGTAACTCGCATTACTAAAGACTTGCCTCGTCAGCAGCTCGACGGCTGACCTTGGTGAATCGCGCGATGATTCATTTAGATTTGATGTGAAAGGTTCGTCGCTGCATTCAACTCTTTTGCATGTGACGCCTGCTGCCTGCTGTTTAAGTTGGCTTTTCTTTCATTTTCCATTTTCGTGCTGCTTGTGCATTCGGGCAGGGCGCTTTTAATTGCTACACCATAATTATATCAATTATGCACTTTGCAGTGGCGCGACAAGTGGTCGAGCTCGCTCGCTCCTTCACTCGCTGTAGACCCGAGAAATGAGCAATATTAACGTCACTTTGCCTCCCCCTCCCCCTACATACTGTTAATTAAAAGTTAGGGCACTCGTGTGCAGAGCCAGTTCCCAATTATGAGCCGAGTAGGCCTTAACTATCGATTTTTGTTTGCTGTCATAAGGCGGGTGGGCGCCACCCACTACCCACCAGGGACCACTTTGTAGGCGCTAAAGTGCCTGACCTGCGGGCATGGCAAAGGCCATTAACTGCGGTCACGCAAAGGCCCGCTTCAAGTTGAGTGATTATGAGTTGAGATTGTCTGTGCTGCTGCCATATATTTATACTAGTATCTATATTAACTACTTGCCCTCATTACAGATTCTGCACATGCACATTGCCAGCATTGAGAAGCTGCCGCTTAGCACCACCGGCTCCCCGCTGCTGATACGCTGCAAGACATTTCTGTCTGTGACATTTGTCATACCCAAGGACTCCGAGTGCCATGACGTTTACACCTCGCTAATGAAACTCTTTCAGCCGGGTAAGTGGCAGCACTCCAATCCATTTGCTTTTATATCTAATCTAATCTCTTTTGGTCTCTTAGTCTCCATCAACAAGCTGTACTGCTTCAATTATCAGCCGGCCAAGGATGACTTTCCCAAGAACGTCGGCTGGGACTTCTTCAAGCTGGAGGCAGAGTTCAAGCACATGCTGGTGCCCAACGAGAACTGGACCCTGTGCTCCATGAACGAGAAGTACGAGCTGTGCGACACGTATCCGCGTCAGATCTATGTGCCCAAAGAGGCCACCACGTTGATGCTGATAAGCAGCTCACGCTTTCGCTCCAAGGGTCGCCTGCCCGCACTGACCTACTTGCACAACAACAAGGTAGCTAAGCATCCTGAGAGCCCTAAATACACAACATACATATGTAAATCTATTACTAATACAATCAACAGGCGTCCATATGCCGCTGCAGTCAGCCGTTGTCGGGCTTCAGTGCGCGCTGTCTCGAGGACGAGCAAATGCTGGAGGCCATTCGCAAAACCAATCCCAATAACGATTATATGTTCGTTGTGGATACGCGACCACGCGTAAGTGCAAACAGAGAACAATATGTAAATAGGCAACGGCTCCCACTCACCCCAATTGCTTGCAGATCAATGCCATGGCCAATCGTGCCGCCGGCAAGGGCTACGAGAACGAGGCCTTTTACGAGAACATCAAGTTCCATTTCCTCGGCATTGAGAACATTCACGTGCAGCGCGCCAGCCTGCAAAAGGTGCTGGAGGCCTGCGAACAGAAATCACCCACGATGAGCGCATTTCTGAATGCCCTCGAGTCATCCGGCTGGCTGAAACACATTCGCTCCATATTGGACACGTCGAGGTAAAGTAAACTTTGGCCTATGTCCTCAGGCAGTTTGGCATTTTAGAGGATTAAGATTAATGTAATGTAATTCCTTTCCGCTTGTTCGATTTCTTAGCTTCATTGCCAATGCCGTCGACAAGGGCATCTCTGTGGTGGTGCACTGCTCTGACGGCTGGGATCGCACCGCTCAGGTCTGCTCGCTGGCGCAGCTAATGCTGAATCCGTATTATCGCACAATCAAGGGCTTTCAGGCCCTCATCGAGAAGGACTGGCTGGCATTTGGGCACAAGTTCAGCGAGCGCTGCGGCCACATTCAGACAGATGCGCGCGAGGTGTCGCCGATATTCACACAATTCCTGGACTGTACCTGGCAGCTAATGTCACAGCGGAGCGAGTCGTTTGAGTTCAATGAGCGCTTTCTGTTGATACTGCACGATCATGTGCACTCGTGCCAGTTCGGCACTTTTGTGGGCAACTGCGAGAAGGATCGATTGGACCTGAAGCTGGCCGAGCGCACTTTCTCGCTGTGGGGCTATATGTCGAACCACCTGAACGAGTATATAAATCCGTTGTACAAACCCAATGTGGACGAATCGATCAAAGCCAATCTGGCGCCGCAGTGCATCAAGTAAGTCCGCAGTTGATTAGATTTGGAAAGCTCTCTAATTTGAATATTATAGATTCTGGCGTGGCATGTACAGCCGCTTTGAGAGTGGCATACATCCGCGTGAGCCCTTGGGTGATTTGCTGCTGGACAGCAAGGAGCACTGTAACTCGCTGGAGGATCATGTGCAGCACCTGACGAAGCGCATTGCCAGCTTCAAGAACTACATTTCCAAGTCGGCCAAGAAGCTGCAGGATGCCACCACCACAACCACCACCAAAGTTACCAAGGAGCCAACCACCAATGAGATCAATGACAACAAGTACCCAAACACATTGAATGCAAAATATACGGAAATCGTTAACAATCCATATTTTCAGATATAATTACGACAAGAAGCTAAGCGAATTGTCTGCTGCCGACGATGATCATCCCCTGAAGGCGAGCAACATGTCATTTGCCAATCTGTCGTTAAATGCCGAACAAACAAGCCCGCAGGCTTTGAGCGAGGAAATCTCGTCGGTGGCGCTAGATTGGAAATCCATGCGAAATGTAACCACCTGCTCCTGCTCCACACCCTTCGATCAGTTCAGCAAAAAGGTTAGTTAGCTAGTCAGTAGCATGGTGGCCACGTGACAGTTCGACAGTTCATCCAATTCATGTGCCTTGCCTCTCTTCCAGACACATTGCTGGCGTTGCGGGGAGATCTTCTGCGAGCGCTGCATTGATAAGAACGTGGCGTTGCCTGGACACGACAGCGGCAAGCCGGTGCCCGTCTGTCGTGGCTGCTTCCGACAGATGCAAAAGCAGAGTCCATAAGCCCAATTCTAGCATAATCCTAGTTGTAAATTGTTGAGCATGTGACGCGGAGTGAATGTGGCAAGCGCGCGAAAGAGTGAGCCGAATTTGTTTCGGGTGTGTTTTGTGGCATTAAATACATATACACGGATTAACATACCGGTACACATATATATATATATATATATATTGAGATACATATATATTATTATATTATATTTATTGTTGCATTTGTAGTTGTAGCTACTTAAAAGCACATGCGACCTTCGAGTTATAGCGTGCAAAAATCAACCAATAAGCATTCAAGCTAGGCAAAGCTTCCAGTCGTGCGCATACATCTACCAGAACTTCGCCTAGTCGGGGCACAAATCTACTTTATGTTGTTGTTGTTTTTGTTTTAAATAATCGATTTTTCGAAATATTCAGGCCTATTCCAAAAATCACTATCGTTTATAATTAAATTCCAAAATAGAATTCATATTTTAAATTATGCTGTTCATCAGGGCCTTAGCTGGCGTTTAATGTGTGACATTTCTTAGGACATTAACTTTTAACTTAATATTACAGAATCTCTGTTCAGCATTCCATATGTAAACTTATATTTTCTTAAATTGGTTGAGCTTTCCATGACAAAGAATTCGTCTGTTTTAACTTTAGGAATTTATGAGAAACGTGAATCAGACCTCTTGCCTCAACATATATCTCACGCAAACAAGACAGTACAATTGCTTACATATTATTGCATACCTAGGTATGTGTATACTTATATACCATTAGCATACAATTGCATGGATACAGTTCAATTTAAAAGGATAACTATCGTAATGTCTACTGCTAGCTGTCAGGCAATTAAGCTGCTTTTCAAGCCGTAAATGTACTATGCAAAAATGTTTGATCAAAATATAATAAAATGATTATTTATTCAACAATTGTCCATGAATCAGGCGAAACATCTTAATAGCCAATATCGGGCTTGATCCGCAGAATGACGGGCACGCTGGTGCAAGGCAGGATGGCCACCTCGGTGACAACGGCGCTGACCAGCTCGGGTGGCGTTATATCGTAGCTCAGGTTGAGTGGCGTTAACCGGCTCTTCGATTGCCAGTTGTTGAGGGAGCATTTTCCATCCATCACCAGCAGATTGGGATCGCACAACTCATTATAGACAATAGCATCAGTCTGGAAACGTTCACTGAACTTGTGCGTCTCACAGCACACGAGTACGGGCACGTTATGGGAGTTGGCAACGAGCGCCACTTGGGCTGTACCCGTTCTCGCCATCACATATCCATTGGCCAATAGCGCATGCGCTCCCAGCATCACTTTGGTGGCCTCCGGCATTACGTAACTGATGGCGTTGATGAGCACATAGGTGCATGGTATACCGCAGGCGTGCAGCCGACGCAGCATCTCCTGTCCCTCGCAGAAAGGCCGTGAATCGACGACAATTACTCGGAATGTCACCTTGCGCCGTTTAGCCTCCTCGCAGATGAACTGAATGAGGGATGAGCAGGCAAAGGTGAGCAGAACGTCGCCGTCTGTGATCTTCTCTTGCATGGAACTGCTAATAGCTTGTGCGGCCTTGCCAATCTGATTCTCTATATAGGTGTCTATAAAGTGTCCGAGGAGCTCCTTTAACTGAATAAAATCATCAATTAATTGTTGACTCCAATCACACTGCTCAGCTGCTTACCTCCGTTTCGGGCGTGTCTGTTGGCAACTGCGTCAGCTGATTCTTGAACTGCTTGTAGGCATTGTACACGGACACGGCCAGCGGTCGGCATTTGTTCAGATGATCCACATGATGCTTGACTGCCACATCAAGACTACGTCCGAACTCCTTTTTGGCGGGCGTCTCAAAGTCCTGAACCACCTGCCGCAGTGCATGCAGAAATGCAATGCAGCGCGCATTGGATCCAACAATAGTCCGCTGAGCATATTGTACACCCAGACGAGCCATGCTCGGATGTACGTTGGGATCGTTGATAAATAAGCTGGCGTCTTTGTCAGCGCTAACCAAATGATTGAACAGCTTCACTTTGCACTCTCGATCCGCTTTGACTGTCCCACCCTTTGATGGCGACTTGGCAGGTGATTCTTCCTTGTCGTTTCTGTCATGTTTGTGTTCCTTGTGGGTCGTGGCAGGCACATTTGGCGTCGCCTTAACGCTGTTCCCTGCTGCCGACTTAACACTTCCAGGCGTCACAGTTGTCTTTTTCGTTTGTCCCTGCGCCTTGGCAGCACGTTGCGCCTCCTGAATGGCTCGACGCTCCGCCTTGGTAAGTGCTGGCTTTTTCTGCAGAGGAAGATGAGATTGGTTACTAATGAGTTCTTGATAAGATTTTTTTAAACATCTTTGACAAATATAAATATACACTGAATATGCGCTGAAAAGCAAACTTTTACTAACCTTTTCGTGATCCGCTGTTGCAGCTGCACCTGTAGCTATTGCAGCTGCGGCTGGGGCAGGTTCAATCTTGGTCGCGACTTGCAGGTTGTTTAATTGCTTCGTTGCTGCATCCACGTTATTGGACTTGGCGGACTTAGCAGCTTGTTTGGCAGCTTTTTTCGCCTCGCGCTCTGCTTTGATTTGCTCACGCGTTTTTTCACTACCTGGGGCAGTTGGGTTAACAGAATCTGTGGAGTTTTGTGCGGATGATTGAGATGCAGTTTTTGTGTCAGCGACATTTATAGAGCGTAGCGGCAGCTCGCTTTGTTCTTTCGTTGTTGTTGTTGTCGTGGTTGTCAGCTTCTGAGTGATCGTCGTTTGCTCAACTTCGGTTATAATTGTCGTGGCTGGCGTGACAGATTTCTGTTTCTTCGCCAGTTTCGCTTGCTTTTTGGCCTCACGTTCGGCCATCACCTGCTCGCGCGTTTTATCCGCTGATGCATTCTGCTGTGGATTACTACTCGATTTTTGCATTTCGCTATCCTTTTGTGAATTGGATACCACGATGTCTTCCAGACGGTTTCGTTTATTTCTTGGACGATTGCGTTGCCGTTGCTTCTTTTGCTTTGTAACAGCAGAGGTGGATGAGCCCTATTGAATGGAGATAAACATTACAATCGCCACAAGTATATTGACATTTACTAAACAGTCTGTAATCTAACTACGGATGCTAAATAAACTTTTAATAAATATCCACTATTAATTAATGAGGCTGCATATGTACCTGTTCTCTTTTTATAACCATTTTGCAGGCTTGAAAATATAGAAATTTGCGTAGCTTAGAGGTATGGAAACCTAATCATAATATAATATTGGGACTATGTTAATGTGACCCATTTTTATTTACCTTTAAAATAAATTTGTTATAAAACCGCTTTACAATATTTGCTCACGATGGCAATTTTTTAGCAGCTGGCTGAAAATGTTGCCAAATTACGCAAAACGAAATACTGGCAACGCTGTTCGAATTCACTGTGAATGTCAACAGGCTGACGTGAATGGTTTTCAGCAGAACTTTATCTATGAATGTAAAACCAAAATATGTTTTAAATCATTTATTCACCAATCAATATTCAAGTTATGCCACCTGAAGTGGCTTCGAAATGTAGATGCAACTTTAAACAACTAATTCAATGGCAGCATACTGAGCTTTGCAAATTAATGGTGCTCGGCAGCCTCCTTAGCCTTGCTCGCAGCCCATGCCTTCTTGTTTTCGGGCGAGTTGGCTGCACAAAAAATAAACATTAGAACGTATGCAATAAGAAATAGATCCTTATAGTGGGTACTTACCCAATCGGCTAATCTTGTAGAAGACGGGCACACAAGCGATTGCGGCAATGAAGTAGTAGCGCCAGATCCATTGATTCTTAATGTAATGCTTGATTGGGAATTGGGCGATTTTAGCCGAGAAAGTGTATGGATATCTCATCGGACGCCCAGCAGGCTTTGGAGCTGCAGCTTTGTCGGACATGGTTGCGATTTGTTTACTGCACGTTTAAAATAATTTTAAAAAGATCAAAAAATTATGTAATTTTCGTTGCGAATGCCGCAGTTACGTACCTGTGCAAAAACTCAGAGAATACCACAATATTTTAATGTGGTACTGCAGCCCTGGTCAACTATGAAGTTGGTTGCGGCTCTTGGGACTGTCAACTCTGAGTAATTTTAAAATATACAATAAAAAATTTGTGAAAAAGAAAGTGCTTCTAGTATGATTACAATATTGAATGAATGAATATATAAAGTTCAAGTGATTGTGTTTTCATCTTGCCAATCGACTTCGACTACTTGGTTTTTTTTTTTTTTGTATTTTAATTATCTACAGTTTTAAAAAAATTCTTCTATGGTCACACTGCTTGTCATTTTTAGTGTCAATAATAACACGCCGGCAGTAAAACGCGGTGGATTTATTTTAAGTTCTTCTTTTATTTAATGTCTACCGGTAAAAAGTGGTTTGAAATGCATGTTTGTGGTATTGAAATAAGTAACATTATTGCGACCTCGGCATGCAAAACATCGCGCGCTTAAGCTCGAATCATAAACGTTTACCGCATGCGGCAAACACGTGAAACCAAATATAATAAAATTATAAGGAAAGAAGAAACAACAGACCATGGCTGACGATTTTAGTTTAGATGAGATTGGTTTTCTGCTAAGCCCACCACATGAGCGATCGCCAAATGAAATGGCGCCCGCAAACGGGAAGTTGTCGAAAAAGCGCCTTCTAATCGGCGACCTCATTGCTAACAACGATGAGCTAGTGCGCCGAGTGAAGGAGCTCGAGGGACAAGAGCAGCAGCTGTGCAGCATAAAGCGTACCGCTAGCGAGGTAACCGAGCTATATAAGCAAGAGAAGAAACAACGCATCGAATTCGAGCGCCGAGCACTTGAAGAAAGCGGACGTTGCTCCGATCTGGAGAAACAGTTGGACATACTAAAACTAAACTGTGAACAGCTGCAGGAAGAAGCCAAGCTTAAGTCTCTGCCAGTTGACTCTAAAGATATTGTCATTATTTTTATGCAACTAGCGTTGCGCATTCAAGAGGATTCCTGTTCAGGCGGACTAACGCGGGCCGAGTATAATATGCTGCGCAAGCTAAAAGATTATTGCAAGTCGGCAAATATTTCTGTACCTCCTTCGAAGAGCCTAATGAAGAAACGAGCAAAAATCTTAACTGCAACGAAAGCAACTTCAACAGAAACATTGGTAACGCCCACAATGCCTACGATGTGCTCGATTGGCGTACAAAGTGAGAGATTTGTAACCACGCGTGATCAGAGCGTACAGCATAAGAATACCACAACAACGCGCGGTACGACGACAGCCGCGCTTATCGAAACGCGCACCGTGGGCACCTGCTTTCCAGAGCCGGAACCACCTCTTGACGCTTATCAAATATTGGAGAAGATGCTAGGGTGGAACATTACGCCGGTGAGCCCTCTCTCTGATGAGCCATTCGTACCCGAAGAGTTGCCAATGATTAGTGTGGGCACAAACACTGACATATGCGATATACATCGTGAGATTGACTACCTGCCCGTGCTGCCAGCTCAATTGAAACGTTCGGATTCCCGACCGCCATCACGAACCATGCACGACAGTGTCAAGGATGAGCTGACGCCGCCCATCGATGCAGCGACACCAGATGGCTACAGTCACACCATGGCAAAGAAACTGTTCAACTTTATACCGCACAGTCAAAGTGTTCTCGACAAGATGCCACCTCAGGACTTCGAGGAGATCTGGCAAATCGTGGGCCAAATGCTGCTCGTTGCCCTACAAAGTCGCCCCGCGAACTCCATTAGCCAGACTGATTTTCGCGACTGGTTTTACTCGCTGTACGAGAGCCACCAGACTCAGAACGATGCACCCTGCATCGACATTAGTAATAAGGGTAAGTCAGTAATGTAATGTAAAGTTAGCATAAGCAAAAACTCAATATTATCCTTGCAGAAACATTTATGGCCCCAGCAGGTGAAGAATTGTCACCTGATGATCGCAATGGTTCCATAGAAACACCGCCTCCAGAAATGGGCTTGGAACTAACCCCGATACGACTGACTCAATTCAAGGAGATAGAGGAACTCAATACCACGCCAAAGATTAATGAACAAAACTCATGCGCACAGGAATGTAAGAAAAAGAAGAAGAAAAAGAAGAAGGAAAAGAAGAAGGAAAAGAAGCAGAAAAAGAAGAAGGAACAATCAATACCCACAACACCTACAGAAACTGCAGTTAATTTCCTAACTAATTTAAGTGATTTCCACAACTCTAACTGTGATAACTTAGACATTCAGCTGAATGAAGAGGAACGCGAACTGATGCAACTGGCGTCTTCAACAGCAAGTAATATGCTGTCGTCAATCACATCTCCTGTTCATAAGGACTTTCTTTCGCTGAGTCCAGTAACGGACATGTCCTCTAGTCCGATATTTGATGAATCTTTAAATGTGGATAAACCACAGTCAATGAATGCAAAGCCACTAGGCACACGTGCAGCCCACATCGATTTTATGGCCTTGTTTGGCAGTGATTCGGACTCGGCAGATGATCAAGCGTCTGCAAACACGAAAGTAGTAGTTGATGAAGTAAACGCTGACATAAACTCAAGCAACACGGAAGAGGAGATACCCAATGGTTGCGATGTCCGGCATAAGGATACACCGCCGGAGCCCAATTCGGTCATTAATAATAGTGATCTTGGTTGCGATTCCCATCACATTAATAAGACAAATCGGTTGCAGCGCAAGCGAAAGCTAAGTTCGCGTAACTCATCTGATACTCAGTCAGGAACTAGTGAAGATGGGAATATAGTTACCAGCGATGACCATCTGCATGTGGACGATACAAACAACAAACGTTTAGGTGGCTTTTCTGAGTCTCTATCTGAAACTAGAGTAGAGGCGAATCCAGTCACCAGCGATGATCATACTCATGTGGATTATACAAACAATAAACGTAGGCGTATCTCATATGAGTTTCAGTCGGACGCTAGAGAAGAGAATGTAGTCATCAGCGATGACTATCCACATGCGGATGATACAAGCAATAGACATAAGTCTTTGTCTGAATCTAGCGAACACTCTTCAGTCGCCAACGATTGCCAGCCTTATGCGGACGATACAAACAACATACGTGGCTTATCTGAAACTAGAGTAGAGGCGAATAATCCTTATGCGGATTATACAAATAATACACTCTCATATGAGTTTCAGTCGGACGCTAGAGAAGAGAGTGAAGTCACCAGCGATTGCTATCCTCATGCGAACGATACAAGCAATAGACGTAAGTCTTTGTCTGAATCTAGCGAAGACTCTTCAGTCGCCAACGATGGCCAGCCTTATGCGGACGATACAAACAACATACGTGGCTTATCTGAAACTAGAGTAGAGGCGAATAATCCTTATGCGGATTATACAAATAATACACTCTCATATGAGTCTCAATCGGACGCTAGAGAAGAGAATGAAGTCACCAGCGATGGCTATCCTCATGCGGACGATACAAGCAATAGACGTAAGTCTTTGTGTGAATCTAGCGAAGAGACTTCAGTAGCCAACGATGGCCAGCCTTATGCAGACGATACAAGCAATAGACGTAAACGTAGCTCATATAAGTCTATATCAGAATCTAGCGAAGAGACTTCAGTCAGCAACGATGGTGATCCTCAAACGGACGATATACGTAACCGTCTCTTATCTGAGCCTCCACCTGAAACTAGAGTAGAGGCGAATTCAGTCACCAACGATAGTCATCCAAATGCGGATTATACAAACCATACACGTGGGCGTATCTCGTATGAGTCTCAGCCGAGTGCTAGAGAAGAGATTGTAGGCACCAGCGATGGCCATCCTCATGCGGACGATACAAGCAATAGACGTAAGTCTTTGTCTGAATCTAGCGAAGACTCTTCAGTCGCCAACGATGGCCAGCCTTATGCGGACGATACAAACAACATACGTGGCTTATCTGAAACTAGAGTAGAGGCGAATAATCCTTATGCGGATTATACAAATAATACACTCTCATATGAGTTTCAGTCGGACGCTAGAGAAGAGAATGTAGTCACCAGCGATGGCCATCCTCATGCAAACAAAACAAGCAATAGACGTAAACGTAGCTCATATAAGTCTATGTCTGAATCTG